TAGCCCTGGTCTTCAGACCCAAGAGCGCATGGTTTTGCAGGGGTTAATTAAGAGTCGTTAGTCCAGATGTAAAATACATTCCTATATATACTAAGTAACTTCACAGTGACTCTCATTCAGTCTTAATAGCTCTGTCAAGCAGATATTACATTTTAGATATGAGAAATTTGATAGACGTTTAAATGACCTGCCCACGTTCATACAATTCAGGTCTTCTGAGTCTATGTCTTGTGTTTTCAGTAGCCTACTAAATTAATTTTATTTTCTGTTTGGTTGGTTTTTGATTTTTTTGAGACAGTCTCTGTAGCCCCAACTGGCCCAGAATGCACTATTTAGACCAAGCTTGCCTTGATCTTACAGAGATCCACCTGCCTCTGCCTCTTCAGTGCTGGGATTAAAAGCATATACCACCATGCCCTGTCTCTAAATTTTATTTTTATAAAAAGCATAAACCAGTGGGCATTAATATACTTAAAAACTGTGTGAACATCAGTTTCACACTTTCATCGGCCCCCTAGATCCCAGCACCCATCAGCAGTCACCTCTTGCTCCTTCCCTCCCTAGCCTCTGGCAGCTATTCTAGCCTGTGTGCCTATGGATTCCCACGTTTCCAGCATTTCACACAATGAAACAATATGTATCCTTTCATATCTGCCTTCTTTGACTTGGTGGGGTTCATCCGTGTGGGAAGATGTTCTTTATGGCTGGGGACTGTTACATTTCATGAACTTTACTTTTTATCTATTCATAAATTGACAGATACGTGGATTGTTTACTTGGGAGCTATTAGGAAGAGTCGTTATGAATGCCCAGTCACGAGTTTTTGTGTGAACATTTTCAGCCTTCAGATTAGACCGAGGAGTAGAAGTAAACGGTGACGGGTACTACTACTAAACTGTTTTCAGAGACTGCGCCATTTTACATGTCCACCAGCAAGGAACGCTCACATTCCTCCACGCTCTGCAGCACTTGTTTCTTATTTTGCCTAATTGCATTTGGTTTCATTCTGCGTTTCTCAAGAGTAATGACCCTGACCATCCCTTCATAAGCTGTGACCATTGGCATGTTTTGGAGAATGCCTATTCCTATCCTTTGCCCATTTTTAAAGTGGGTTGTCATCTAGATTTTTATATATCTTGGAGACCAGACCCTTGTGAGATGAATGATTTGAAACTATTTTCTCCCATTGTGTGGGTTGTCTTCATTTTCCTAAAGTTTTAAATTTAGATGCCATCCAGATTTTTAAAAAATTTGATTTCTTGTGCTTTTGGTGTCATATCCAAGAAATCACTGCCTATTTAAAGGCCAGGAAGCTTGACACATACATACCACCTTTATTTATTTTAAAAAACATTTTATCTGTTACTTTTATTTCATGTGTATGAGTGTATTGTCTGCATATAGGTAGGTGCACCTGTGTCATGCAATACCCGGAGGTCAGAAGAGAGGGCCAATTTTCCCTGGAACTGGAGTTGCGGATGGTTTTTAGCCACCGCCTGGGGGCTGGGAATCAAACCCAGGTCCTCTGCAGCCAGTGCTCTTAACCATTGAGCCATCTCTCCAGCCACATAAATGTAATTTTTAAATTAGACTTTCAAAAGCTTTCTCTTCTCCTGTGAAGAGGAGATGCATAAAACAGTTCAAACTGAGCCACTGCTTCTATTTGATGTTGGAAAACTGAGCTTATTTTTACTAGAAGATACAATATTAAAGAATTCATAAATGATCTCCCAAATTAATTAATACACAGTGCTTATAACAGGGCATTAAATAAATTCTGGCTATTATTGTAATTACTGTAATTACTCTGAGATTTAAAAATCAATGTTCTAAATAAACTAATAGAAAATAATAACAGTTTGGAATTCACATTTAAAAGAAAAGCATTCAAAGACACTGACATGTGATTGAGTTGAAATGGCTTCCCCAAGCTTGTTCACTTGGCACCCTAAGGGCCATCACTTTATCTGTAGCTGGAGAATAAAGTAACCTGCAACATCCTCCCACGCAGGTGAACCCTGAAACCCAGAGAACAAAGTAAACCTTCATTTCATATCTTGTTTCAAATGGACTAATTTGTTAATGCCCATTTACTAGGGTGTATGCACTGTTAGAAATAAAATCCAAGGTCCAAGAACCCATCAGTACCACACAAAGAACACTTGGACAACGAGAAAATAACTCAGCAAGACAGATTTTACTTTTGCAAAAGCAAGAACACACAGGACCCAGAAGCTTTTAGGGGCCTTTTATCCCTAATGCAAGATAACTGTGTCTTTATCCCATTGGCTGCAGTCAGACCTCACAGTCTTTCCTGGTTGTCTAGTTTTGAAAAAAAATCTGTGTGAGGGGAAAAGAGCTCCACTATCCAGGCCAGCAGGCTTGGGGATACAGCAGGGCTAGTCTTGCAGGGTATGGTGGGATTAAAAGATTAGAATTCCTTGTCATAAACCACGTTATTAGTTTTAGAGGGAAGAAAAGACTACTAGTCAATGTTTCTTATATTACCGTGAGGCCAATGTATCCTGACTTTTAGCATGAGTTACCTCATCACAGAACAAGACATTGAGAATTTTAGGCCATGTGTCTCGAAGCCTGCTCTTAACTCCCCTAGAGTCCACTGGGCAGCCTGAAGGCAGCATTTTAAAGTGTGTATTGTCACTCATGATTGTCCACACACAGGGCAGCTTGACTATAGGGAGCACCATCTGACTCAGTCTTTATAGACTCATAGGGTTATGATTCTAGCAGATCAACAGACAAGTATTCTGGAGACAGGGGGCTCTTCTAATGTGTATCAACTTACCCAGGGCTACCAGTGGGCAGTGAGGGCATTCCTTCATCTTATTCATGATCTCAGCACTGTGTCATTCATGTGGCAGTGCATGTGTCAGTTTTCAGGTGCCAGGGAACCAGTCTGTGGCTCTGAGGTTATTTTGGGTAGCTAGCCTCTTTACAATATTCACATGAGATTCCCAGAAGGCAGAGATCAGACCCACATACTTAGACTTACATCATCAATGGTTACTATGAATAACGATTTAAAACACACCAATTTTTCAAGAGGGAAAAAAAGAGAATTCACAGGATAAATTAAAAAGGCTGTTAAACATCAGAAAAATTCAACTTTACTAGTATCAAGATAAATTTAAATGAAAACGGTTGGAATTTTTAAAAAATTTATTAGATTGACCAAAATAAGATTCTGGTAAAGTAAGATGCAATGGCTTTCCTATGCTATTGACAAGATGAAAACTAGTGTCATTCTTTTGGCAGTAGTCAAAATGTCAAATGTGTATTTCCTCAGATTTAGACATTCCATTTTTTGGAGAAATATACAGGTAAGTAAAGCTTTGCATACCAGCATGCTTACTATGGCTCCATTAGCAATAACACTGCAATCCTTCCTTTTAAAATTACACATATATGCATTTCACATATACACAGTAATTTTTGCTTCTGAATCACAGAAATGGGGGAAATGAAGACTTTTGCCTCTTGTTTTATATATTATTGTAGTATCTGACATTTTTAAAATCACCAGTGTCACTCTCATAATTCTTAAAAGTAAATTTATGGGCATTCTAGTCCAATTCAGAACTGCACAGAATTCTGCACAGAATATGTTTGGTACTTGTAATCATCTAATGACAGAGGACAATGACCTCAGGTTAAGTGCTTTGCCCAAAATGTATGTTGGAGAAGCATAAAAGTGTTCTGAGAACCAACAGCCTTTTCACAGGAGTCCCTGAGCAGCCCAGCCTCTACTCTCTGTCTCAACAGATGTCTCCCTCAAGGAATCCTGAGCAGTCAGCTTTCCTGGGGTGCTCACTTGTGGGGATCACCACCAACAAATTACATTTGCAGAGTAACTCCTTTGTTCCTGGCATTGTTATGTCCTTTCTTAGACAGGACATTATTTAAAATTCAGAGTCCAGCCTGGCTTCTCCTTGTCCAGTATGTCACACATTCCCATTTCCTCACCTAGAACCTAGGGGGTTCTAATGACATCCTGGCCAGCACCTTTCTCTGGCTGACATGGGATGCAGAGTGGCCTATGTGAGGCCCAGTGCATTCACAGCCCTGAAGTGCTTAACATATGGGAAAGTACTTCAGTACAAATCTGACTTTGTGCTATTCTGAAGGTGAGAAATTTTCAAAGATAAGCTCACATTTAAAGTTTTTTTGAGTCAAGATCTTACCATGTAATCCTGGCTGACCTGGAACTTGCTATATAGACCAGGCTGTGCAGGCTTGACTATGTAATCCTGGCCTCCAACTCACAGAGTTCCACTGGCGTCTGCCTCCCAAGAGTTGGGATCAAAGGTGTTCGCCGCCATGCCCAGCAGAACTCTATTTGTTTTTAGGGACTTGAGAAACATTAGTATTGAGGCTTGTGGCCTTTAATCCCACCACTCAGGGAGGCAGAGGCAGGCAAACAGATCTCTGAGTTCGAGGCCAGCCTGGTCTACATAGTGAGTTCCAGGCCAGCTGGGGCTACAGGGAGAACCTGTCTAAAAACAAACAAAGAAACAAATAAACAAATAAACAACAAACAAACCCAAAAACAAACAGAAAATTTAAGTTTTGCTGGGCATGGTGGCTCATGTCTTTGATCCCAGCACTTGGAGGCAGAGGTGGATCTCTGTGAGTTCAAGGCCAGCCTGTTCTATACAGTGAGTTCCAGGCCAGCAGGGACTACAGAGAGACCCTGTCTCAAAAAGACCAAAAAAACCCCCAGAATATTAGTTTTGTATTAAACTTTGTTATACATGATGATCATTACTGGCCGTATCTGCTGTAAGGTGAGTTAGATATAATTCTTCTACACTAGCAGTCATAAACATTTTATTAAAATAATAATGTTAAAGGCTTGTATTAAGAGACAATTCTGTTTGATTTCTTATAGACAACATCGTGTACCAAGTGTGGAAATTCTTCACATCATCAGCATTAATCAAATGAAACTCCCCCAATTAATAAAGACACAAACAGGTAGGTATTTTGCAGACAAGAAAACCTTTTATTTTAAACCACAAATAGTCAGCAGGTGGCCACAACTATCCATGTTTCATTAAAATCACATAAAACCTAGGTACAAAAGCACCACTGATTATTGCTCTAGAAAAACAGCATGAAAAATTCAAATACGCACAGTAAAAACACCACAGTATGCACAGGACTACATTTTTAAAGCATGGGTGTTGAATGCCGAATCCGTTTTACACACAGCTGCCAATATTAAATTGATATTTATTTTACTTGAGGATGGTGGAAACTTCCAAAAAGCATCACTATAAGAGGGCAAATGTCCATTTTTATATATATTTTGTGCCAACTAATAGAGTCCTAAAAAATTAGCATTTACAAAATACTTGGTAAAAATAGCCTTTAAAAGTTGTCCCAAGAGGTACGTAAAAGCAACCCCAATTTTCCATGACAATTCATTTTCCCTCGTTACCCATAGATTCAGTTTTCTGTGCCTGTAAAAAAGAAAGAAGAAACAAAATATAGTTACCACTAAAACAACTATCATCAAAGAAAAGTCCACCCACCACAAAACACTTTTGAACATTTGTCTTTCTTGCCCCCGTTCCAGGTCTACTGTGCAACGTACTTCAACTGTAGGTGGGAAACAGACAAGGCAGGAATGTATTATGCCAACACTTCACCGCGTTTATTACTTTCTGCTTTTTAAACAACCACAGAAGCCTTACCTGCGAGCTCCCACTGCTCATAATAATAATAAAAAAATAGCACACTACTATCTGATTCTAGTCACTGCAAACAGGCAGAGTTTCTACTGTACCCTTAACTCTCACTGTTTCAATCTGCCCCTTTACTGACAGTGTGCTGGGTGGGGGACTTCTGCAGGCTGAGACATTAACAGTTGAGCGAGAGATGTGGATCTGCAATAACATTATAGGCAATGAAGAGAGACATTATGAATGTGATACAGAGGGCTGAAGGATCAAGCAATTTAAGACACTGTTTCAATCAGCGAGAGGTGGTATGTAAAGTACCTCTTCAGCTCTAGTGTCACCGTTTTCAGATGGTGCAGTACCTTCCTTTCCAGCTTCCTGCTTTTCCTCCTTCTTCCCTTTAGCACCTCTGCTAATCTTTGCTCCAGGTTCTTTCTAACAGATTAAACCACGGGGAAACAGAACATGTTAGACACAGAGCGATACTGGTGAACAGCAGAGAGTCTCTGTTGGAGCACAGTGAGATACAACGATGTCGGCCAGAGTGGCCTTCAGGGAAAAGGGAGGACCCAGCTTGGCTGGGTATCACCTGAGTTGCACTGTGTTTCCATGAAAACCTCACGGGCTGCTTGGCAAGTCCACCAGACCTTCCATTCTGTGGGAAATGCAGTGACTGCCCTCAGGCCCCATTCCAAGGGTACCTACTAGGAGTAGAAGTGGTTTTGCTGTGGCCAGGGCAGCAGCAGGGCCTGGAGAGGGAGGCAGGCCTGCAGAGGAACCCACCCACCAGGCAGTGGCTTTGCCTGTTACTTTGAAGTTTGACCCGCCAGGTCGGGTGGAGCCATGCAGCTTGCGTGGCTAGAAAGCTGAGAAAGTGCTTGAAAATGAGGGCCCAGGTGAAAAAGAGGTGGCCATTTTAAGAGCATGCCACAGTGGCTAGCTTTGTGTCTGAAATCAACTGCTGTCCCGACTACACACAGGTTCAAACAGTTCACAGGGATGATGCTCTGAGGGGCAGAGTGTAGAAAAGTTACTGTGGCTTTGTTTCTTGGTAATCTTGAGTTTTAGTTTCCTCTTCTGCCATCCAGGATAGTCACATCTATTTCCGTGGGGTTGTTTGAGATGAGGGTGACTGAGTAAAGCACCCAGAACACTGCTTGGCGCAGGTCAGGGCTAGGGTTCCAAACCTACCTGCTGGTATTAATGATGATGTTGTTATTGCTAGTCCTGGGAATGGCTGTCTACCAGCAGTTATGGGAGGTTGGAAGCCCGGAGCTCCCTAACTCCTGGAGCCGGTGGCAGCAGTGGTGGCCAGGGCCAGGTCTCACCCCACCCTCAGCATGGGCAGAGTATTCCAAGGCCCCTGCCAGGCTCCTGCTCATAGCAACCTGCTTTGCTTCCTGCCTCATTGACCAAATGGAAAACACATTCCTGCCAAAGCATAAAACTGTGCTTTATGTCTTAAGAATGTTCATAATGGCAGGAACGACGTTCTGTCAGTACATTTTAGCCTGAATCATTAAACAGGATCTTTCCTTGGATGAGTTTTAGGTATGGAAGTAGAATTTATTTATTGTTTAAAAGGTCAATGGTGGGGGGAGGGGAATGCCTCTTACCTTCACAGATGTTTTTCTTGGTTTAGGCTCAGGTTTTGGTGGAGCGGGTTTCTGCAGAAATAATTTAAATTATATAAATACCAGAAGTACGATAAGAACAAACATGGCTTCTGACTAGGACTTTGTCCATTTCAAACTCATCTTATTTTCAGCACCGGGTAACAGCATAAAGTCCCCAGGATTTTCACTATGTTCACCCTGGGATCACACGTGAACAGCAGGTGAGACGAAAAGGCTGACTCATTAGTCCTGGGTCCAGGACGGCTCTCCAGGGACAGGTTTAAGCTTTTCTTTCTGGTGTCTCTGTACTTCCTTTTTGCACAGTACAGTAGCAAGAGGAACAACTCAGACCTTTGACCAAATGAATCAGTAAATTCTGTCTCACTGCTTTCCCAACAGTCTAGAAATCAGAGCCCAACCGACACTGAAGTTGCAGCCTGTGAAGTATTTCAAAGTCATATCCAAATCCCCCGCTGTGACACAGATTCCAGGTTCTGCAGCCAAGCAACTTCCTGTTTCATCCTCTTCAATGTCGGCTTGAGGTAAGACTCTATCCCCCCAGACACTGGGCTGATTTGTCTCTGGAGCTTTTTATTAAAGAATATAACTCTAGTGACCTGTCCACTGTTAGCCATTAAAATTTAAGATTTTCCACAGATAGTGTTAAAGAGCCCTCTAGGAAACTGTTTTTGTATCTTATGTGGTTTTCCCACTATGGTGAAAAGTAAGAAGCAGTCCAGGAAAAACCTTCCTTGCCTTGGCCAGGTTCTCAGGGATCTGAAACCAGTAGCATATGGGGCCACTGGAAAAATAAGCAGCTTAAATCATGGGCTCTCTGTGGGGATTTTAGGTCAACTATTTTTCAAATAAAGCTAAAAAGAAGTGTATGTCTCTCCCAGCCCTAGAAGGTTTTAAAAATAGAAAACCCAGTCCACGGTGCTGCTCTGTGGAGAAAAGTGCATGTTTCTCCCTATTATCTGTAAGATTTAAGATTAATATTGATCTAGGCCTTTTCATCAAAGGTATAAAGTGAAACTGAGACAGTTCAATTCTAGATTGGCTGTCAGAAATTAACTCTAAAGCTAGACATGGTGGCTCACATCTGTAACCCTAGCGCTCAGGAGGCTGAGGCAGATTGCTGGAAGTTTGAGGCCATACTGAGTTACTACAGAGTGAGACCCTATCTCAAAAAACAAACCCAAAAAAAACCAGAAAGAAGGGCCAGCAAGATGGCTAAAGTTCTTGCTGCCTAACCGACAACAGGAGTTTGACCCCTGGGTCCCACATGGTAGAAGGAGAGAACTAACCTCTGTCATTGTCCTCTGACCCCCACCTGGGCACTGTGACACTCATACCCATCTATACCCCTGTACACACAAATAAATGCATGTAATAAAAAATTTAAAAAAACAAAACAAATAACCTTTCAAATCAAACCAAAAAAAGAAAGTCAAGTATGAAAACCAGAAATATCTATCTATCTATCTATCTATTTATTTATTCATTTATTTATTTATCTTTATTTGGGTCTCCCTGTAGCCCCAGCTGGCCTGGAACTCACTATGTAGACCAGGCTGGCCTTGAACTCACAGAGATCCGCCTGCCTCTGCCTCCCGAGTGCTGGGATTAAAGGCGTGTGCCACCACGCCCAGCAAGAAATATTTATTTTTAAGATTTTATGTGTATGAGTGTTTTGCCTGCATGTATGTAAGTACACTCATGCATGAAAAACCCACGGAGGCCAGAAGAGGGTGTTGGATCCCCTGGAACTGGAGTAACAGGCAGTTGTTAGCCATCATGTGGGTGCTGAGATCCAAACTCCAGTCAGTGCTCTTAACCACCTCTCCAGCCCCCACCCCTAAATGCTTTCATTAATGCCTTTAGCTAGCACTAAATCTGCAGTGTGCTCCCTAGATATAGATGCTTTTATAGCTTTCAAATATTCTTAACTTAAACATTTGTTACTCCAAGTTCTGACATGTTATAGTAACATATATTTTCTCAACTTCAGCAAATAATTTCCTTTTATGTTATTTTCTGTGAGACAGACCTTTCATTTAATGTTTGTGCTTGTGAGTGTGTGTGTGTGTGTGTGTGTGTGTGTGTGTGTGTGTGTGTGTGCATGGAGGCCAAAGGTCCATATCAGGTGTTTCCTCAATTCCTATCCATCTCAGTTTTTTAAATATTTCATTTAGTATTTTTATTTTATGTGTATGAGTGTATTGCCTGCATGTATGTGAGTGCACCTGTGTCATTCAATGCCACGGAGGTCAGAAGAGGGCGTCAGATTCCCCTGGATGGTTCGTAGCTGCCATGTGGGTGCTGGGAATTGAGCCTGGGTCCTCTGCAAGAGCAGTCAGTGCTCATAACCACTAAGCCATCTCTCCAGCCCCAATCCATCTCAGTTTTGTTACTGTTGTTGTTTGTTTTTCTCTGTTTTTGGTTTTCAAGCCAGGATCTCCCTGTAGGTCCAGCTGGCCTAGAACTTGATAGTAGACCAGGCTGACCTCAATCTGACTGAAATTCACCTGACTCTGCCTCCTGAGTGCTAGATTTAATGGTGTGAAGCACCATGCCCAGTTCCTACCTTAGTTTTGAGGATAGTGTCTTCTCACTAATCCTGGAGTTCACCGATGGCCTAGGTGGGCTGAACAGCAAGCCCCAGGGATCCTCCTGTCTCCAGCTCCCCAAGGTTGGGATTACAGGCCAGCACTGAGCACCTGGTTTTTTAATTGAGTCCTGGGAATCCAAACTCAGGTCTTTATGCTTGTTCAGTAAGTACCTTACCTACCAAGCTCTCTTCCCAGCTCTGAAAGGAGGCTTTACAGTCTGTAGCATTGCTGGCTTCAGGCTGTGTTGACTCTATAGGGAATAATCTCAGCAAAAGGGGCTTATGTTCCTGGTTCCTGGGGCCCAGGGAAAGTCTCGTTTTAATTTCAGTTTTCCTTTGACTTGCAAGGGCTGTTCTCTAACTGGCTAGAGATTTACAAGAACGCTTTAGTCACTGCTTTATGGACTTATGTGAAACACTTCTCAACCTATAAGAGGCATTAAGATCCACTTCCAGGCACATGTGTGGCTGAGGGTGCAATGCATCCCTGTAGTGCCTATGACATAAAGAGTGGGATGTTCACTGTCAGTCAAGACCTCAGTGTTTCCTCATCTTCTCAGCAGGTAACTTTGACTGCAGTGCTCTCCTGCTTTCTTGGGAGGTAACTAAGTTGGACTGCTACCAGAGTGAGGCTGATCTGGTAGAATGAGGAACAGGGATACGATAGGGAGGGTCCCAGGGAGGAGCACACAGAGGCTGCGAGGAGCTGAAGCACATGTGGCTGAGGCTCAGCCATCTTGTCCACCTCAGCTCTATTCCCAATCCTCCTCTCTGCTTGGGTGTGGCCTACGGAAGGAGATTCTAAATGACAAGGTGAAATTACTACTGTTCAAAGATTTCCAAGTCCGGAATGAGACTAAAGTGTATGGATTTATTCAACTTTAGGAACATTTTGATTCAGGAATAAAATATTTGAAAGGATGGGTTATAGGCAAAGAACGGCATTCCAGACTGATTTCAGCATAAGAGGTGTAGAATCTGAGGGCCAGGATATGCCTAATGCACTTCCTTCTCTGCAGGATCTTGTAGCTCAAGCTGCTCAGCCTTCATACACTTGATAATGGACCTGGTCACTGTTCACTGACATATATGACTAAGTGAACTGCTTGGCAACACAGGTCAGATTTGCTGGAAATGGAGACCCGAGGTACTTTTCAAAAAGAAAATAAACTCAAGGAAAGAGCCACCCAACCTTCCGTTTGCTGCTTTGACTTGCACAAAGGGAACTCATACTCAGAAGCAACGCCAAGGTGACTCCGGGGACTTACCGCTGACAATCTGGCAGACCGTCTTGTGGGCTACAAAAGGAATGAAAAATAGATCTTTTGTAATTCTACACAGTCAGGTTGATCTTAGGAATTCATCTTGATTTATCTTACTTTGTGGGAAGGATAAGATGTACGGCGCCCGCCCCTGTCTTCAGGTTAGTATTACAACATCCCAGGGCCCCTGGGTACTCCACAGAAAGGGTTTCACCATTACCACAAGTGGCCTCTCCCAGCTAAGGGTGAGGAGAGAAAAAAAAGGACAGGAATTTTGACTGTATTCTAAACCATAATATCATCTTTTGTGATAAAATTGACATCAGGAACATTCAAGTGCCTTAAGAAATGGTCTCCTTAAAAATGGAACTAAAGCTTCTAAGTTAATAAGAGACTTATGTAATTCACAGAAACCAAAATAGGACTTCCCAGCACAGCAGCGATGGGAAAAAGAATGACTATGGATCTTCACAGTTAACAAGAAAGATTTTTTTAAAAACCTGGAACAAAGTAAACTTGTCTACTAAAAACATATATGCTCACTAATCTTTTAATTTCAAAACTTAGAAAATTGAGAGGTTAGATATTGATTGAATTTAGAGGTTAATATATTTTCAAGGGAGTGACGTTAAATAAGCTGACCAGGCTCCAGTGGATGAACTTACACTGAGGGACATCTGGGGACACAAACATGACTTGATTACGCCTTAATATATATGACCGAATGCATGAAGCCCTGTGGGCAGGCTATGGGGTAGGTGCAGACAGGGGAGGGGGTCTAAATGTGATTAAGATATATGAAATGCACAAAAACTCAACAAAAATATATATTGTAATAAAAAAACCAACACAATCATGATTCAAAAAAAGAAAAAGAGAAATCTTGTTTTCAAGGATTGTGCAGGTTACTGGACAGTGACACCAGAAAGGAAATGTAAACTGACAGAACCTAGACAGTTCAGATGAAGCAACAAAACCAGCTCTCTACCTACGACTCAGGAAAACCCACATTCTTTAGGGATTTAACATTCTCAAACCACAAGTGACTTCTCGGAAAGAGTCACTGCGCTTTTTGTCTGTTGCATTCACTTCTCTATCTCTGTCCAGTAGGACACAATGCTACCTAACACATCTAAAAATATTAGCTGAAGAAATGAAGTCAAGCTTTCCTCTGATTCATGCAGACTTTGACTCATTATGATAGTTTAGTTTCAAATAATTTTTCTTAAAGGGGTCAGCAAAAATGGTCAGTAGGGCCAGTGTCATGACTGAGAAGAATTGCGGAGACTCTTGATTCTGTGCTGAGGTCAGTCTAAGTCAGGAGGTCAGGTCACAATGGAAGAAATATTTCTTGACATCACATCTAAAAACTTATCTTTCTTTAAAGTACAGAAGAAAACGAAGGGCCAGAACCTCTATGAATAACTTTAACCTTGGGGTCTCAAGGAAAGATCAGAACTGGACTTAAGACTGGCTAACAGATTGTGCTCAGAATAGGAGGCTGTGCAGGTTAAGTGCTTGACTGGGACAGAGTCAACCCCCAGAATAGGACACAATACTCAGCACACAGCTCCAGGCACCCCGCAGTCAGTAAGGAAGAAGGTGTAAGAGATTCTCCACAGCAAACACAAAGGTGCCTGATTGTCATAGGTGCATTCATGGTGATGTGCCAGCAAGTCGCTGAGGCTCAGGATGGGAACCCTGCAATGCCTTTCCCAGGACGGTCAACCACATCTCACTGAATAGCAATGAAGGAAAGGAACAGTATCACTTAAGCTACAGGATAAGCTGTGTTTCTACAGTATGGTTTCTGAATGCGGGGGAACAAAGAAGCACCCACCAATCATCACAGTGCCAGCTTTGAAGCTTCTGTGTCCTCCACGCCCAAACCCACCATCAAACAAGTGCAGTGGGCAGAGCTTCTTCATGGGGAAGAGTGGCAGCCTCCTTGCTGAAGGGAAGTGAAAGGACCTTATTCGTCTCTCTCCCTGCTTGGTCATTAACCTATACCCTCTATGTTGCCTTTTACTTCACCCTTCACCTCATCCTTTTCTTGTCTGAATCTCCTAGCATCAAAGCACCATTCTTTTCTATTTCAGCAGCACCAATGCCTAGCAGGGACCCTTAATAAATATTTAGGCAAATGGAGGAGGCAAGCACCAGCAAATCATAGATTACTCATGTACCGTAAGGAGCCAAACACATTTACCATTACACATAATGGCTTTCCCAACCAGTTGCTCTTATTTAAAAGAGTAAAAATCATGTAGGAATTCCCTGACTGCAACCCCTACTCTTTCTTGTCTCTGTCTCTCCACATGAACACCCAGAATATATTGAGGTGTCAGAAAGATTTGGGAGATTTTCAGAGGGACGTTCACATCAGATTTAGGCCCTCCATAGGGCGGGCCTCTGGCTGACTGATGCAAAGGACTTAATTTAGGTTCAGAACAAGAGTTCCAAAATAAAAAAAGCTTAGAAAATTGATACCCCAATAGTTTCCCTTTATAAGCTGTCTAGAGCAACCAGATTCTAAATTTTTTTTTACTGTAAAATCATTTTATGACTTCCTACCTAAAATTTACCAGCTCTTCTATGACATAAAAAAGACTTTTAAAAAACTTCCTTTCCAGTAATCACTCTGTTTCTTTCTTCACTGCATAGTGAAGGCTGAAACTAGCCTCTCACTTAGTCAGCAGCATACTTATGCGTGCACGTGTGGACACCTTCCTGGAAAGCTCTGTCAGCTTTCACAGCCTTAAAATCTATAAATGATCAGACTGTATCTATTGGATGTGAAACAGACTAGATTGCTATTTATTCGTCTTTAAAACACTAGTGTTGGAAGTAGTCGTTTAAGGCTCAGTCTTACTAGGCAGAACTAAGAGGGGAGATGTTAAGGAATTTCTTTTAATTTGTTGATTGAGAAATCTTAAGAAAAGGAGTCAAAAGAATGAGTCTGAGAGGGAATGAAGGCTTTTAGAATGACAGATCACTGCCGTTTATAGGTGCTGGGGACATTAGAATTACCCAGTAAACATTTATTGATTAAGTGATCAGCCCTACCCCCACAGTGGAGAAAATTCTGGTGAAAGCTACACTAAAAGACATAGGTCTATTTTAGAATTCTGACTGCAAAAGCAGCACATGAGTCTAATCTCACAATGATAAAGTTCAGAGGGAGAGGTAAGTTGGAGCAGAGTCACTGGACTTTGCTGATTACTGCTTCAGTCTTATTTTCACAAAATGTCTTTTGCTTCTGAGTCTCACTATGTACTTGTAAAGCAAAACTTAAAAGCCAACTTGCTTTTGATTCTCAAAAACAAACAGAAGTTCAGTACAAACTGCCTTCTTTTCAAAACTGAGAAACAGTGAAAGATCCACAGGGCAACCTTGGCTGGGCAAATACTAAACAGTAGAAGGTAGATGACCCAGTTTGACGCCTGCACTGAAGGCTGTGGGGAACAGAGGACTAGGGACTAGGAGACCCAGACTCCTTTCCCAGCTCTGTTGTTTACAAAGTGGCATTTGGGGAAAATCGTATTATTTCTCTGAGAACCTTTCTCCTTGAGTTAAAACAGGGATAACCACAAATGCCTGCTGTGGAACAGCACTTCTGTGACAGTCTCTAACGCTTTCCACGCTTTATGTTTCTTTATAGAAAACATCCAATTACTTTGTTTGAGTCTCTCTTCCCCACTAGAATAGACGCTCCATGAAGCCAAGGAATTTGCTTGTTTTTCACTGTGGGATCCACAGGGCCTGGAACAGTGCCTGGAACATTCCCAGGTGCTCACATATTTTTGAAAAGGAATATAACTTGAGGGGCATCGCTCAGTGGTAAAGCTGAGTGCATACATACAATGTCCTGGGTTCCATCTCTACTATCACAAGAATTTAAAGAAAGAATGCTTCTTAGGGTTATTGTACAGATCAGATATAATAGTGGATATAAAAAGGCTTTGCCAATCACAGAGGTAATGACTGTGATATATTGTTTAGGTCATTTATTATCCAGGTTTCCTGAAGCACTCTTCTTTACACAGTGCCCTCCAAACACCATAGCTGTAGTGGAAAGTCTTCATTTTGAAAAGACGATCCCCTTGATAATGTGCATCTGTTCATCATAATAAAGGAAGGTCAATGACTGAACTAGAAAATTCAGTTTGAACTAAATTTCAATCCAATAAAAATATAAGATCAATCAAAGTACTATGGCAGTTTTTAGTGTAAGTCAACAGTCAGCTGACTGACCCTTTTACTTTTGAAGACACAAAATGAGGTTTTAGGCTTTTTTTAAGACAGTGTTTCTCTGTAGCCACAGTTACCAAGACCAAACTGGCCTTGATCTCACCTGTCTTTGCCTCTTGAGTGCGAGGATTAAAGGCATGCCTGGCCATAATGAGTTTTAATATGACTTAGTTTATAATAGGTAAAAAGTATTGTCTAGAAAAAAAATTGTTAATAATAATATAAAATATACAAAATTTATAAATAATGAAAAGAATAATAATGGAAAAAACATGAAGAATAAAAATCTGTGGGCTAACACAGCGTACCTACAGCAGTTCTAGAAGGTGCACGTGCAGAGCTCCTGATTCTCTTTTACACACGTCCTAACCAGCATGATGGGCTTCTAGCATAGAGGGATTGGGAAGACTTTTGCTGGCAAGTATCTTGCATATGCAATGGTTTCTAAGCTTTCTGACTGATCAAGTTAAATGTCAGCCCTCACAGAGAAACCCAAATGCTTTTTTTGGGTGTGTGGTGCCCAAATCCAAAAATATTAAGGTTAGTTACTTTGCCAACTGCTCTAAAAATTATGTTTTGCCATTTTCTAGAAAATCCAAGTACATGTAAGTTTTTTGATTGGTTCTAGCATGTGTAAGGTGACTTGACCCTTGATTACTAATTTCACGATTATCCAAAACAGTTACTTGTTGATACACAGGTGGTAAGGGCAGGCAGTTTTGTCTGTTTTGCTTTACATTACTTCTTTACAGTTTCTGTTAAAGACTTTCTATCTGGCAGAATGAATTTGCTTGTACAAATCTTGTGTAAGCGTATTGGTATCATGAAAAATTCCTCTGAATTATTAACCACAGTATGAATCACCCTATCAAAGAATCTGTAATTGGATATCACTTCTGTCTCTCTCATGACCGCTTTTAGTTTCTAAGTTCAAGTGTAAGAGCTGTAGTTTTCCACACATGGTAAAGCTCTATACAAAGGGGAATAGCTGTCATCGGAGATACACCTCACTTCTGACTCTTTAAAGCATCTCCTCCACTATCATTGCAAATGGTCAAACATAAGGACAACTTCCAATTTCTCAGCCTTTCAGGTTTCTGCATTTTAAGCACAAGGCATCTTTGAGTCACTGACTAATAAGCTATCTCAATATCCTATGAGTTTTCCTAACTAGAAAAAAGCTTTGGTATCTTGACATATTATGAATCTTTCCATAGTCTTTGTCTTTAGAGTTGAATCCTCTTAGGTGAATACTCACATTCTGAAAAGGAATGTATAATTCACTCACTGGAGCAGAAAATTCATGAAATCAACAGCCTTTCATTTTCCTGCTATGAAAAGCAGGCTCTGTTCTCCTTGATGAATTTACCTATTATCTTGCTCTCTGCCCAGAAGGAATTCTCAGTACTCACTCTGACAAACAGCAGGACTAACAGGTAGAAATACAAACAACACAGTAATAGGAAAATACCTATCAATGTACTCAAATGAAATATGCCAAAGCCAATCAAGGCTACACGCGGACTCTTAACTCTGGTTTGTGTAGTCCCAGCAACCTTGTTTACAATGAAATTCCTTCACATGCAGATAACTGTAACAATATACAACATTTCAATATTAAGAAATAAGTAGGGAATGTCAAAGATACACTTACCTCCTGTTTTGTTAGCTTGGTTCCATCTTTGCCTTCTGTATTCTCTGGAGACTGAAAAGAAAACATTGCAGTTAATTGTACTTAAATTGGAAATCACATTTAAAAAGTGATTAGATACCTAGGTGTTTTTATTCCTGGGACCAGATAAACCAACAGATTGTTTTCAAGGAAAACACACATCATATAGCACCACACACACACACACACACACACACACACACACACACACACAGCTATGTCACTGTCTTAATTTTATTTTTATTTGTGTGTGTGTTTGCACACGTGTGTGTGTGCATGTGTGTGTGTTTGTGTGTGTGCAGGGAAAGGACAAAGGTACCATAGACTAGCTATGTAACTGTCTTAATTTTATTTGTATTTGTGTGTATGTCTATGTATGAGTATGCACATGTGTGTGTGGGTGCCCATGGAGGCCAATCAATCCACTGGAGCTGGAGTTGTAAGAGGCTGGAAGCCCCTGTCCCAGTTTTAATACGAGAGTGGGGAAGGAGCTGCTATGCTATGCGCCCCGTCTCTGCCATATACACATGCCTTAAGCACTTCATTCATCCTTGGTGAGCCCACTAAGACTCACAGTCAGTGGCAGATGTGCCTGGAACTTGTCATCTTGTTTACTTGCCCATTCCAGTTGCCATGTCCCTTTAAGACAGGCAGGATGCTGGCGAAGCCCTGGCATATTCTCTGTATTTGTCTTGCTCTGCCTTCTAGCCCATTTCTTGATATACTCTGGTAAATTTATAATGATTTTTTTTTCCACCATCAGTTTCAACATCTTTACTACACTCCCAGCTGACAGACAGGTGTCCTGGTGCTCCAGCTGATTTATCTCCAGATTTTGATTTATCTCTGAGGGTAGCACTGCCCACTTCTGTGACAGTTCAAACTTGAAGGGCTGCAGAGAACTATGGGGAAATATACCTTACATTTTCCTTGCATATAAAGTAATAATGTACTCTAGATTGGTAAGATACTTCACATATCCCAGTGTGTTTCTATTGGCCAAAAATTAATAATTAATAAGGAAGACTAAAAATAAGAAGGCTGGGCTGGAGAGATGATTTAGCAATTAAGGGTATTTGCTGCTCTTGCAGAGGACCTGAGTTTAGTTTCAAGCACCCACATCAGGTGGCTTATAACAGCCTGTAACTCCAGCTCTAGGAGATCTGATGCCCTCTTCAGGTCTCACTGGGCACCTAAACTCATGTGCACAAATCCACATATAAGATACATAAATAAAAATAGACCTTTAAAAAATTAAACCAAGAAGGCTAATTAGAAAGTTAGACTACTTTAGTTTAATATATTTTACAAGTGTCTAACAGCAGAAGGTAAATACTACAGCACAAATGGGCAGCCAAGGTGCTTGTCATCCAAGCCTGACAATCTGACTTCAATGCCCCAAACCCATGGTGGAAAGAGAGCACCAACTCCTAAAGTTGTCTCTGATCTCTACACAAGCATCGTGACATGCTCACACCTGCACTCAACACACACACACACACACACACACACACACACACACACACAATAAAAGTTAAAAAAGAAAACACAAATAGAAAACTGGTAATTTTCACTATGTTTGGCTTAGCAAAATAGAATACCTGTGCAGTAATGCCTCATCTGATAGAACAAGAACAAAATGTACAAGATCATTAAAACCCACTGCTTAGTAAGGCTGGTAACACTGTAAATTAATATAAACTTCTCAAAGAACAACCTGTAAAGGGTAAAAAGAGTTAATAAAATAAGGCAATGACCCAGAAATTCTAATTTTGTAAAAATTCCAACTTCTACAATCTTTGTAAAAATATGGTTATATTTGTATTATTTCTAATAACTGGAAATAATATGCATGTTCAGTAAATAACAGAGAGCTATTTAAACTATGTGACTGAGGCTGGAGACATAGCTTGTGGTTAAGAGTACTTCTGCTCTTCCAGAGGACCCGAGTTCAGTTCCCAGAACCTATGCTGGGTGGCTTACAACCACCTGTAACTCCAGCTCTACAGGATCTGACACACTCTCTTCTGGTTTCTGTTGGCATAAACACTCATGTGCATAGACACACTCAGACACACACACACACACACACACACACACACACACACACATAATAAAATCAATCTTAAAAATAATAAAATAAATTATATAACTATTAATGCAATGAGATTAAAAATGGGCTCTCTGGAGGCTACAGAGATGGCTGAATGGTTAAGAGCACTGGTTGCTCCTGCAGAGGACCTGGATTCAGTTCCCAGCACCCACATGATGGCTAACAACCATCTATAACTCCAGTTCCAGGGGATTTGATGCCCTCTTCTGGATTCTATAGGTATCGCATGACATGGGTGAACTTACATATACATAGGCAAAACACTCATATACATAAAATAAAAATAAAGATAGGCTCTCTGGATTCATGGAAAATCTACTTAATGATAAATTTTAAAACTTAGATAATAGTAAGCGAAATGTATATAGGTACTATATCATCTTTGGGGAACACAGAAACTTTCCAAGGCAAAGAATACAGGGAACCTTCTCTATTCCTCGGATCTGTTTACACGCAGCTTAGCAGTTCTCACTCTCCGGAAACTCCTTTGTCTACAGGGTTATCACATGTCTCCCAAATCGACTGTTCTCTCCTTCACAGAGAACCTCCCCATCCGGAGGGGAAACTGAACTTTCTCTTTTGTGTTCTTCACTCTTTCACAAAGATTGCCAGCTTCACAGTCCTCAAGTTGTATCTCTGAGCTGAGTCCCAGACAGCAAAATCTCAGCAGGTCTGAGCACAGGCCCACAGTTCCACAGGAACTATTGGCTTTGCTCATTTCCTAGGTTACACATGAAATGCTGATATACTATGCCAAGATACATCAGGACAACTCTGCCACATTGTTAGAACCCAGGCTTACAATCTGTGAAGACATGTCAAGGCGGAAACAGCCTTTTCCAGCCCCAATACCCAGCGCTAACTTAACTAAGGCCAGCATAGGCAAAATTCTAATTTGTTCTCTACCAAAGATGATTGGTGTTACTTTCTTATGTTTTTTAGGTAACTACTTGTATAAGCACAGCTCCTGTATGAGCTCACCCTGGCCAGCCTTGGGCTTTGTCTCTTGGAACTTCTATCATTTCTCAATACGGAAAACACATGGGGGAAGGCTGGGGGAGGAATGCTTGCTCAATCAGATTTCAAGTCTTAGAAATAATGAACAATATAGATGTGGTTAATATTTATAGTTTTGTTTTCATTTTTATTTATTTATTTATTTTTTTTGTCTTTTTGAAACAGGGTCAGAGTCTCCCTGTAGCCACAGCTGGCCTGGAACTTGTTATGTAGACCAGGCTGGCCTCAATCTCATAGAGCTCCACCTGCCTCTGCCTCCCAAATGCTGAGATTAAAAACATGCCCCACCATGCCCAGCTACTTATGTAGAGATTTATATAGCAAAAAAAAAGATACACACTTAAAGCCCAAGAATACAGAAATCATGAAAATAAAAGGATGTAAAAGAAATATATGGGGAGCTGGAGAGATGACGTGGTGCTTAAGAGCACTGGCTGTTCTTCCAGAGGACCCAGGTTCAGTTCCCAGCACCCACATGACAGCTAACAACTATCTGTAACTCCAGTTGCAGGGGATCCAATGCCTTCTTCTGACCTCTGCAGGCACTGCACAACATGGGTGCACCTACATGCAATGCAAGAGATACAGTCATACACATAAAATAAAAATATGGGGTTGGAGAAATGGCTCAGCAGTTAAGAACACTTGCTGTTCTTCTAGAGGACCTGGGTTTGATTCACAGCACCCACATGGCAGCTAACAACTGTAACTCCAGTTCCAGGGGATCTGACACACTCTTCTGGCCTTTCTGTGCATTGTACACATGTGTACTTACATGTGTGCAGGTAAAACACTCAATACACATAAAATAAAAATGATGAATGAAATATTAAATAATAAAAAGGGGGCTGGAGAGATGGCTCAGTGGTTAAGAGCACTGGCTGCTCTTGCAGGGGACCTGGGTTCGAATCCTAGCACCCACATGGCAGCTAACAACTGCCTGTAACTCCAGTTCCAGGGGATCTGACACCCTCTTCTTCTCTCTTTTGTGGGCACTGCACGACACAGGTGCACTTACTGCATGCAGGCATAACAAACTCATACACATAAAATAAAAATAAATCAAAAAGGAAAATAAAAATTTTTTTTTGGTCTTTTTGAGACAGGGTCTCCCTGTAGCCCCAGCTGTCCTGGAACTCACTGTGTAGACCAGGCTGGCCTTGAACTCACAAAGATCCGCCTGCCTCTGCCTCCCAAGTGCTGAGACTACAGGTGTGTGCCACCATGCCCAAGTGGAAAATAATTATTTTTAAGATTAAAAAAAATATATATGGGCTACAGATGTACCTCAGTGGTAATCACTTGCCTAGTGTACACATGGCCTTGCATGGGTTTGATCCTCAGCACTAAAAAGTACTAAGTGATCAAATGAATGAATATAAAAATATACACAGAGCTGCAATTAATTGAAAACTAGAGTCAACGCACATATCTCATCAGGAGGATACTGCAATTCAGGGTGGTAAACAATAAAACACATAGCAGCCAAAACAAACAGACTCTGGGTAGGTACCTATCAGGGTAGAACAAAAAAAGGAATGGAGTAATTCTAACCAAAGTTTAAAACTGTGTATGAGGTAAATCTATAAAAATTGCAAAGAAACAATAAACATGAAATTAACACAGGCTAATTTAGGGTGAAAAGAGGAAGGGTAATTCAGCAGGAGAAACAAATTCACAGCAAACATCGTATTTCTTAAGATAAATGGTGACTACACTGGCTTGCTATTCTCATTTAAATCATACACGTGAAGACACTGTATACACATACTTTATATTTAAATGTCTTTGATTTGCAAAAATATGAGTTATGAGCCAAATAAGCAGGAAGGAAAAACAAGCAATAATTTTTAGAATTACAAATTCTGAAAAAGAAAAGCAACTTACAGATTCCTAAGTAAAA